CCCCGCCCCGCCCTCCCCATTCCCACAATAGGCTTGTTTGGATGTGTTTGCAGGCTGCCTGACCCACCTTGTTTTCTACCAGGAGGGGGAAAACAGGGGAAAGCGAGCAATCTCTTGGTTGGTAGAATTATTATAATTTCTCTGATTCCTTAGCAGCCTTTAATTACTTTGCAACTTTGTGGCACAGGCTGGAAGCCAGGAGGGGCTGGGCTCTCCCTCTTTATAATAACCTTACGCGGAAACCTCCCGTCCGTCTATTAAAAAGACGGCTCTTCTCTCCGAACGCAATAATGCAGCCGAGAGATTTCACCCCGGGCGTAATCACTAGGTACAATGTAATCTTCCTGCTCACTGTCTTCATCACCAATCGGCCAGCCCACCTTCCAGGCATGGGGGACTGCCAGCCACAAAGAGCCGAGTGTCCGGTCATGTCCTTGTCCACTAGGGTCACAGGCTCAGGAGGGACCCTCTCCCAGTCCTTCCTCTGAGAGGGAAACGGCACAAAGGCCTTTTCCCGCTGACTCCTCCCCTCTCTGCGCCCAGCCGCGCCTCCTGCCATTCCCAGCACAAACCCTACATGCTAGAAACCCATCCCGTTTGCATGAGGTTTAAGCTTCAGGCTTTCCTGTGCTTCCCGTCCAAGATCCTCACTGTGGGTGGCCGCTTTCCTGCCGCCCTGCCTTTGCTCATGCTGTGCCCTCCCCGGAGATGCTCTCATCCATGACCCCTGCACGTCTTTCCCCCAAATCCTATTCTTCCTTCCTTCCTTGGAATGGTACAGTGGGGGAAGTGGGTAGTGTGTCCCCATTTCACAGACAAGCAAGCCAAGCGTTAGAGAAGTCAGAAGACTTGCTAGGTTATTCCCTTTTTGGAAGGGGCTGGCTGGGGTGAGATCCCAGCCAGCCCCTTACCTGGGCTTCTCTCTGCTGGGCTTGAAGGCACAGGCTTCTTTTAGTCCCTGCCCTTGGAGTTGCTTCCTACACCCACTCCATCCTGGCTTGTAAACCCCACTCTGAGATGTACCTTCTGCCTCCTGACCGTGGCCTGACTTTTTCTGCCTTGCGGTGGCCTCAGGAACACTGTGGGCAGAAGTTAGCTGGATAAAGGCCTGGTTGCTGAGCCTTCCTGGGGCTGACTGAGCCAGGTCTTGGTCACTTGTCTGTACAGCTCAGTGAGTTAGAGTGGGGTGAACTCTAGCCTGGAAGGAGAAGGAAGCCCACCACCTGTGGCTGGGAGACGGGTCAGGCACTTCCCCCTTCCAGGGCTGCATGTGTGAATTTGCCCCTCTGTTAAATGAGACTAGGAATCCCGGACCTGACCATGCCATCGTGGAGATCAAGGACAGGACTGATAGGAAGGCCTTGAGCTTAAAGCCTTGTGCAAGTGGGACAGATTAACCCCTAGAGTATTTTCCCCCATGCGCCCTTCGCCACCAGCTTCATGAGTTTTCTTTTTTCTTTTTTGTTTTTGTTTTTGAGTCTATGTATTACTTAAGTACCTTTACAGAGAAGTGAACAGTCATAGGTGGTCAGCTTTAGAAATAATTGCAAAGGGAACCTATTTGTGTCACTAAAACCGCATCAAGAAACAGAAACTCTCAGGGCACCTGGGTGGCTCAGTCGATTAAGCGTCCGACTCTTGATTCGGCTCAGGTCGTGATCTCACGGCCTGTAAGTTGGGCCCCGCGTCAGGCTCTGCGCTGATGGTGGGGAGCCTGCTTGAGCTTCTCTCTCTCTCTCCCTCTCTGCCCCTCCCCTGCTCATGATTTCTCTCTCTCTCTCTCTCTCTCTCTCTCTCTCTCTCTCTCCCTCTCCCTTTTTCTCTCCCCCCCCCCAAAATAAATAGGTAAACATCAAAGAAAAGAAACTCTCTAGCACCTAGAAGCCCCATCATGATTCCCTGTCTCCCCTGCTAAAGGGCAATCACTACCTTAGCCTCTATCCCCATGGAATACATTTGCCCGGATTCATTTTTTTCTGCCTACCCTCTGGTTTTTATTGGCACCAAAGCCCAGGAACGGGCAACCTCCTCCAGGAGGCCACTTCCCACGGTGGTTAGGATCGGCGTGTGGGTTAGTGGTGTCATCCTGCTCACCGCGTCCACCTACAAGTCCCTGGGAAGCGTCCCGTCTCTGCCAAAATGGGTGTGGTGCAGACACAGGGGTGCCGCTGTGCTCATCCCACAGTGTTGCTCTGCCTGGGGCTGTGATGCTGTGTGTGCGGTGTTCAGGGGGCAGCCTGCGCTCAGAGAGACTGGAGGGACTCTCCCCTGCAGGCATCCCCCGCTAGGCAGCCTCTCCCAGGGTGGGCTTCTCTCTGCAGGTGGATATGGAGCTGCCCAGCTCCAGGACAGGAGGATGCAGGGGAAATGGAAGCTAAACGCAGTGAGCAAAACTTGGGCCGCGTGGAAGGAGGAAGAAACACAAGGGGAGGGGCCCTTTCCCCTTAGTGCCTCTTCTGGACCCCACAGGAGTCCTTCAGGTTAGTAAGGAAGGTCTGATTGTCCTGACATGTTATTATAAGCCAGAGAAGTGAGCCCAGGCAGGTTAAATGACTTGCCCAAGGTCATACAGCTAGTCCCGGATTTTGTCCTCATTGTACTGCCCCCAAAGCAAGTCCAAATGCATTCTACCCGCCAGCGTATCCACTCAGGGTTTGGGGTTTAGTGAAAGTGTCTGCTGCCTTCAGAGGAGCCAGCCTTGAGTCTGGAGAAGGTGGAAGGAGGAGGGTGTCTGGTTAGGACAAGGATTCTTCCGTAGTGACCTTTATTATGTTCTAGCACCTTCAGTCTCCCACAGAGCTGTGGCTTATATCAGCAACCCAATCTGAGCTCTGCGTGCACACACACACACACACACACACACACACACACACACAAAGATCTTTAAAGGCTTCTTAGCAGCAGCTTGAAGTGGTTGTTTTTTCTTCCCCCTTCATGGTCAGGGTTGGGGCAGGGCCAGGGCGATGGGAGAAGACGAATAAAATCTCCTAAAGACCTGTCTTTCTCCCCACCTCCCCAAACCATCAGATCCCTCAAATTCAAGGGCCACCAAACCTTGAAAAAAATCCCCCCAGTACAACCCAAAAGGTGGAGACGCAGGGAAATACAACAGCAGCTATTGGGGCGGAAAGCCCTAAATGGTGTGGAAGTAATGTCTAAAGTGTGCTGGCGATTACAGACATTTCCACGGGACCACGCTCAGGCTGCATGGGTCGGTGCCGGCAGCGGTGGGGAAATAAATAAATAAGTGAGCAAGCGTCGGAGATCCCGTTAACTGTTGCCGTGCGGAAGGGAGGGATGGGGCAGGTTGCTGGTGAGGGAGGAAGGAAGGTAGACAGGCTCATTCATTCGTTGTTCCATCCATCCATTCATTCCACTGTCCTGAGTCCCTGGGAGGCACAAGAAGTACTGCTAAAACCTTTCTGTAGTTGGTGGCCGGAGTCCCACAGGCTGGTGGGGTCTGATCCCAGCCTCCCTGCCAGCTTCCCCGTGACTCTCTGCTTCCCTGCGCCTCCACCTTCTTTCTGGTCCCCGAGAGCACCATGCCACAGGGTCTTTGCACGGCAGTACCGTCCGTTTTTCATGAACTCGAATCCCCTGAGATCTTCGATCCCTGATTGATCTCTTTTCCCAGTACAGAACCTATCCCTGTGTTTTGGGTCTTTGGAGCATCATAGCTGTGGTCTTGGGATATAATTAGTCACTTATTTCCAGGACTGCTTGATCACTGTCAGTCTCCCATGTGAGACAATGGGCTCCACGAGGGGCATGCCCATGTGGCCGTTTCTCCATCACTGCACCTTCAGGATCTTGTGTCCTGCGGGGACCCAGTAAAGATTTGTTGCATGATACAGTTGACGCTGCTTGCCTTCTAGGAGTTTCTCTTCCTCCTCTCCTCGGCGGCCCATATCCTTTCAGTGAGCAATTCCCTGGACCAGTGCTTGGCATGCCGTACGATGGAAGGCACCTCAGAAGTGCTAGCAAGTTCCCCACCAAGGCCTTCGGTCCCACCAGACTTCCCAGGCAACCAGCGGGAAATGGTGGGGCTGTTGGAGGAAGGGGTGTCATTAAAGGGGCTGGGCTGTGGTAGACAGAGGAATAGCCCCAAGGTTGTCCATATCCTAATCCTGGGAACCGTGACTGTTTCCTCGCATGGCAAAAGGCTCTTTGCAGGTGTGCTTAAGGACCTTTGTGGGGAGATATCCTGGCTTTTCTGTGTGGGCCCAATGTAACCCCAAGCGTCCTGATAGGAGGAAAGTGGGAGAGTCAGAAGGAGAAGTGATGTTGGAGGCAGAGATCAGAGAGACAGGTTTGAAGGTGTAAAACTGCTAGTCTGCCCGGGGAAAGAAGGGTCCAGAAGCCAAGGAACATGAGTGGCCTCTTGAAGCTGGAAAAGACATGGAAACAGATTCCCCTGCAGCCTCCAGAAGGAATGCAGGCTGCTAACCCCTTGACTTTGGTCCTGTAAGGCCCATTTTGGGCTTCTGGCCCCCAAAACTGTAAGATGCTCAAGTCGCAGGAATTAGTCGCAGCAGTGAGAGGAAGCCGATACAGGGTGCTAACAGGGAGGCATGGTGGTGGCAGCATGCGTTCTACAGGCCACCCCTAGCAACCCAAACTCAAGTTCGCTTGTTCCTGTGAGATGCTTCAGGCAGGAGGACTGGCGTCCCGGGGGTGGGCTTCTAGATATACATAGGTGTGAGGCTGGCAGTCACTGGGGATGATCCATGAGGGCTAGCCATGGGGCAAGGGCCCCTGGAACTGGGGAGGGCAGCTGGCTGGGAAGGGGCCCTGTAGAAACCGGGAGGGGTGAGGTGGGTGAGTCTGAGTGCCTGTGTGGCGAGCGTGGAGAGGGAAAGCTTTTAGGTGAGTGGGGGAGAGCGGTGCCGGAAGGGGCTGCGTCCGAGAACTGGCCGCCACACCGCTGGGTCCCCAGGGAGCCCTCCCATTGCACAGAGGATGGCTTAGCAGGGGCCAGAGTGCTGGAGACCCTCCTGGAAAGCGTGGCCTCAGGGCACCAACCAGCCCAGAGACCAGAGAGAGAGGGGAGTCTCTGCTTGGCTTGCTTCCAAAGTGACAATGACTGCAGGAGTGTCAGCTCCAGGCGCCTGACCCCACCGTCGTCCACTCATTCATCAGACATTGCCTGGGTGCCTCTAGACGCCACGCCCACGCGGGATGCTGGGGACACAAGACCATGAGCCACGGTTCCTGGCCCCCAGGAGATCCTGGCTGGGCCCTGCTCTGTACCCACAGGGCACCCTTTAAAACGGGAGGGGAGGCCAGTGCTTGAGGACCTGGGCAGCTACGACCCAAAGCCAAGCTGTCTCTAGGTTGCTGAGGGGTGGAGTGGGGCCCCCCACCCATCTCCGCTTTGGTGCTACAGGAAACCCGGGTCATGCCTCCCACCCGCCCCGTCCTGGCCCCTGAGCCCCTTAGGGCACGAGGCATGTATTGCTGGCGAGTGCGTCTCCCTCCAGGCAGCAGAATTGGACAAACAAGTTCTAAACGAGCTTAGCAAATTGGTTCTCTCTGCTCCGTCCCACCCCTCTGCCGCCCTGCCCTGCGGCAGGCTGGGCCTACCTGTAGGTCGCTCTCTGTAGGGCTGGGGAGGGAGGGAGCAGGGACTGACTTGGGTCTGAGGCAAGCAGAGAGAAACCCCCCCCCACACACACACACACTCCATCTCTGGACCCCCATCTGCTTCATTATATCTGAGGTGGATAGAAACCCCACGAGAGGGGCGCTTGGGTGGCTCAGTTGGTTGGGCGGCCGACTTCGGCTCAGGTCACGATCTCACACTCCGTGAGTTCCAGCCCCGCGTCGGGCTCTGTGCTGACCGCTCAGAGCCTGGAGCCTGTTTCAGATTCCGTGTCTCCCTCTCTCTGACCCTCCCCCGTTCATGCTCTGTCTCTCTCTGTCTCAAAAATAAATAAACGTTAAAAAAAGAAACCCCACGAGATGGAAACGGCCCTCCCAGAGGGTTCAGGGGCATTACGGAGATGGGGCAGGGCACGGGCCTCTTAGAAGGCCTGGCACAGGTTCGTGATCATACCTTTTCCTCTGACCTCCTATCCCAGCCTCTGGTTTATACCATTTGTCTGATAGGTGGGTCCTCCGGGTCCCACGTTCCAGCATTTATGATCTGATTAAAGATAGGGTCTGTGCCTTACAATTCCTTGAACCCATAAGCTCCGGGGGTACTGGGCATACGGGAGGCGCGAGGAACGGCAGAAATGACAGTACAGGAGACTGTGTGTACATTCACGCGTGTACTTGTTAGGGCCAAGCTGGGGTCTAGGTGCTAGGACTATTCCCGTGTTCAAGGCGGGGAACGTGAGGCTCCGAGAGGTTAAGTCAGGGGCAGAGCCAGGACGTGAGGCCTGGCGGTGCCACCCCGAGGCCCCCCAGACTGTGCTGCACCTGTGTTGACAGTCAAGGGGCTGAGCTGTGACATCTTCCTGTCTTGTACAACAAGTGCCCGGGACACTCAGGACCCAGCAGGCAGCAGACCAGCGTAAGACTTCTGGGCCGTGGTTTCTGGCAGGCCTCTCGAGGTCTCCCCTCATCCTTCTGTCCCAGGACAGTGCCCGGTGCGCCACGGCCGGCATGGGCCAGAGGCAGTGGTGGTGCCAGTCACCTCTCCCAGGCCTAGAGAGCCAGGCTGGGCCCCGGTCCTGGGGAGACAGCCTTCTCACCCCGCACCAATGCACACACGCATGCACACGCCTCAGGCATGACGTCCGCCCTGCCTCCTCCTGGCTTGTGTCGTCTCCCTCACGGGTCAGCGCCCCAGAGTGGTAAATCATGGACGAATCGGCCACAGCCAGCGGGAGGCCAGGAGGACAGAAGGAGGGGACACTGCCATGAGGGCCATTAACACCGAGCCGGCCAGGCAGGCAAAAGCACAGCTGATTGGGGCAGAGCAGACCAGCCTCCTCTGGGCCCTGCTCTGTAGCCCTCTAAGATGTGACATGGGAGGGGACACACACGTGGAACATGCGTGCTCCCTGGGAATCACTGAGCATGCAGGGTTCACGGCATGGATGCTTGGTCAGGCCTCCCCCATGAGAACAGTTTGCAGACGGGGACAGTCACTTCGCATGGAAAGTGGCGAGAAGAGAGAGGCTGGTTTCTGCCTGGAATCTTTGGACTCGAGCAGACCTCGTTCCCCTGCCACCCTCCATGGACAGCGCTGGACTGGGATTCTTCCATACATCCTTGGGCCTCCCTGGGTCTCAGTTGACCCACCTCTACAGTGGGGTTAATCCCCTTAGCTCTGACCAGCTCCTTGGCTGGTCAGTGTTATAAGAAACAGATGAACCAATGATGTTATGGGGTGTAAACCATGGCCCCAGTTCCCCGGCCGTGTTCCTGTTGAGTGATGCCATTGGACCATGGCATGAAGAGGGGGGTCTACATGGCACCCCTGCCCCCGGGAGGAGAAGGCAGAGCTACTGTTGTGACACAGAGGATCGCCATAGAACAGGCCACCCGGGGCGCCTCTCCGGACTTGGACCTCAGTGTTCCTTCCCCAAGGTCGAGGGCCAACCAGTCCCAACAGTTGCTGAGAAGTGGGGGCATGTGTTGGAAAACTGAGGTCGGGGACCCCGGTGCCCTCTCTGGGTAGCCGTGCCTTGGGACGGGTCCCTTCCCGCAGTGTCACCTGGAGGGATTGCAGGCAGGCAGGCCTGTCCCTTCTGCACGGCTGGCCTTGCAGCCGGCCTGCAGCAGACACGGCTTTTTTGTTTTTGGTTAAAAAGCCTCATTGGAGCGTTATGATATTGGAATGTGAAGGGTAATTGAGCTGAAAGCTATTCTCTTCCTGCGACCGGCACGATAGGAGTGATTGAGGCGCCCGGGCCTGCGCACCAGCCTGGGAATCCTGATGAAAGGTCTGTGCAGAGATGGGGGTGATAGATGGAGTAGAGCGAGGCTCCCCGATCCTTCTTCTCACCCCCGGGGCCCAGGCCCACCCTGCAATGTGCTCCTCTGAGACTCTGAGCTGCCAAGCTAGGCCTCCACCCACCTGGGGTAGAGATGGCCAAGGCCTCGGGGGGCTGGGCGCAGGCAGAGGGTCTCCAGGGACAGGTCCACAAGGAGAGGGCTGGACATCAGACTGAAACCAGCAGAACAACCTATTAGCTGCAGCCTCTCCACTTCTTACTGCTTTCTCTTCTGATAGGACTCAACTCCTGCCTCTAGTCCTCAGAGGGGTCTCTCTAGACTTTCTGCATTTCTATCCCCCCATGTTCTACCCGACCTCTGCCAGTGTTTGGACAACTGCAGTGTTTTCTAAACTGTTTTTTTTTTTTTTAAGTTTGTTTATTATTTTGAGAGGGGGCCGGGGAAGAATCCCAAGCAGACGCGGGGCTTGATCTCACGAACTGTGAGATTGTAACCTGAGCCGAAATCAGGAGTCAGACACTTAACTGACTGAGCCACCCAGGCGCCCCTAAAATGGGAGCCCTATTAGCTCACATAGGAATCAGCTGAGGATCTGATTAAAATGCAGATCCTGATTCAGTGGGTCTGCGGTAGGGCCTGAAACTATTTCTGCCATGCTCCCGTGTGATGCCGACGTTGCTCCCACCTTGCTTTGAGGAGGAAGGTTCTAGGAAGTAAGCAGGCTCCAGATTCTCAGTTCAGGGCCCAGCTGTGAGGAGACACCACTTCCTGAACAGGGCTGCCCTCTGTGGTTGTGCGGGTAGAGCACTGAGCAAGGAAGGGTGTGCTGGTGCAGTCCAGCCCGAGCGTTGCTCTTGAAGCTGGGTACCTGGAACTGGGTGGCATCACCTGGCAAAAGGAGCACGTTTTTCTTGGCACAGATGGGCAGTTCGTGCACCAAGCTATGTATTCACAGGGCGGGGTCCACTCTGAAGGGGCGCCTTTTTCTGATCTCGTACAAAGGCGCCATACAGACCTTGCCCCCAGACTTCGAGCTGTTGCTGTCGGCCTGCTTCTGCCCACCCTCATCCTCTTCCATCCCACTGCCCAATCACCCACCTTCTTCTGGCGGAATATGGAAGTCCAAGGAAAAGGGAGACTGGAGTGCATTACACTCATACGCTTCTCCCTGCACACTCACCCCAGCCCCTGCTGGGTGGGGAGAGGGGGCCCAGGCCTTCCTGAGCCCCGGACGCCTAAGGAACAGATCCTTTCCAGCCCCCTGCTGCCTGCTGCTCCCAGAGAGCTCTCAGCTGGGTGGGTGAGGCTGGGACAGGCCCCTGTGTCCCAACTGGGGTCTGCTGCAGGAGGGGGTGTCCTTGAGGAAGGAGACTCTGGCCCACCCCAACCCAGCCTGTGCCCTCCCCCCAGCATGTACACACACACACACACACACACACACACACACACACACACACCATACTCAGTCTCTCGGAGTGGCCCATTATTAATTGCCATGCAGGCTGAGCTGAATGGGTCCCATCAATATGTGTTCCAGCAGCTTCAAGGAGCTGGGGCCTTTGGTGGGACGCCACAGCTTATCTCTCCCAGCCAGGCTTTCCCTGCACAGGACTCCATTGGCATATAACGAGCCCTCCTTGGGGGCTTCTGGGCCCTTGTGCCAGGCCCAGCAGAGGGAGAGAGGCCCGCCCCTTCCGGGCTCTGCCCTGCCGGCTCCCAGCTGAGCACAGGCCTGCCTCTTGCCCTGCAGGTGCCTCCAGGCCAGGTGGGGGCCTCTCTGTGGCAGCAGAGTCACAGGACGGGCCTCTGCAGCTGCCATGCCCGGTTCCCAGCCCCCACACCCGGCCTGAAGGGACCCGCTTAAGCCTTAGACTTGACTTCCCTCATCCTGCTATGCCAGCGGTTGCAATGACACTGTCGTTCTTCTGGCCTGGTGGCATGTTGTCGGTGGGCACGTGTGCAGGGCTGGGTCTCTGGTCTCGCAGGTGGGCAGAGCACCATCTTTCCCAAGCACCTGCCACAGCCTCTCCTCTCGCATCCAGCTGCCTTGGGTTGGCATTCACGGCCCCTCCGACCACCGGAAGAGGGAGGAGTCCAGATGGTCGTTTGTTTCACCTCTCCTACCAGCGAAGAGAGTCATATGCACAGTGACTGCTTTTTGGACGATTAATGCTTAATCACACACGTTCCACGTGCCAGGAAATGTGCTTCGTTTCGTTCTTAGACCATCCTGGGGAAAGGGATATTCCCTCTTCTCATTAGGCAGATGAAGAAGCAGAGACCCAGAGACGTTAAGTGGCTGGCCAGGGTCACATAGCTGGCTAGCAGCCCCTATGATATGGATGACAGATCTAGTGCCTCTGTGTGGACACTTGCCCGTGACATGGAGCTCTCAGCTTCCTGGGGCCACACAGGACATGTTCGGCCATCTCAAAATAAGGAAATTACCCCTATCCATTTATCCAGGCTTGCTGGCTAGGATTGGGCTCTGCGTATGAACGTGCCACCATGGGAGGCTGCCGTCGGTTGAACCCACTTCCGTGGGCCCATTAGCACCTGTGTGTGAGCCTCTGGCCGGCTTGTGACATGTTTGATAGGAGCAGAGGGGCCTCAGAGTAATCTCTTCTTCTCCAGGACTCCCCCAGCTGTGGACCCCTGGGCCTCATCTGCTCTAGCTCTTTGACAGGGAAAATAGTGAGTACTCCCACCCCCCGGAGGTCATAAGCCCAGTGTCCCCTGTTCAGGATTCGCAACCCCCTCTGTTGGGGGTCCCCAGACTCCACGGGTACTAACACGCCTCTAAAAGTATGGCTTTTCTTGCCTTCTAAGATGCCATTTTGCCCCTCCTTCTAAAATATATGAAATTGGGATTCATCTGAGTTAGCCACCTACAGCCTGTGCCTGCACAAGTAGTGACCACAGTCACCTCACCAGAGTGTGGCTGCTCTGTTGCTCCTTAGCTCTCTGCAGCCCCAGGAAGTGGCCCAGGGCTGCTGCCCTTGGAAGCATGGGCATGGCTCACCCCTCCCAGGCCCAGCAAAGCCAGGCTGAGTGGGGGTGGGAGCGGAGGCAGGGGCTGAGGATCAGAGCCTCTAAAGGCCATCACTTCTCTGATCCTCTTAGCCATAGACAACACCCACATTTGGCACGAGAGCGGCCTTAGTGAGGGTCAGATGGGGCTGTAATGAACTGAAGACGTGTGACAGCTACAGAGGAATAAGTTCCTGTGTCGGCAGGAAGTGCCGACATTTTGGACTCTTCATCTCGGCCCGCTTCATCAATAGTGTGGTGTGTCAGTACCAGTCCCTTTGGACCGAGATTTTCCGCATCCCCTGACCCCGAGTGTGGAAGTCGGAGCCCAAGTGGGGGGCAGCAGTGGTAAGTTTTGCATTCTGTTCACAAGTTCAGTTTCTAAGGAGTTGAAGAGTTGGGGACTGGACTGAATACTTCCCACTCTTATTCAGAAGACCCTTAGTCCTCAGGGAGATTGCTAGCCAGCCCCTCCCGGGAAGAGGCTGACCCCTGCTATCCACAGCAAAAGGCAGAAGGAGCTGCTTGGGAGCCGGGGTGGAGACCTCTCCAGGGTCCTGAGACTCGGGGAGCTGAGTAGCTTAGGCATCGGGACCTTTCGGAGGGAAGCCAGTCAGCCCCCTCCTCCCCCACTGCCGCCCTTCCCAGAAGTCCTCAGGCAAGAAGGCTCTAATTGATGAACTTGTTCCTCTGTAGCTGTCACACGTCTTCAGTTCATTACAGCCCCATCTGCCTCTCACTAAGGCTGTTCTCTTGCCAGCCTCCCGGCTGGTCTGAGGGAGAAAGCACACGTAGCAAGAGCAGCTGGGATCCGAGGCCCCGTGATTATCTTGGAGAGTCCAATCAGGGTAATGGCAGGTCCTTCTGGAGGGGGAACTGACCATCAGGACAGGGGTGCTGGAGGGGGGATCTTGAGGCGGTTAACCCTTAGCCATCTAAATCTGGAGGCCAGGGCCACAGCCAGGCACACCTTGCTAGTGCAACCCTGCCAGTGGCTTGGGAGTCACTTGACACACCTAGGGGCTGGGCCGAGACTCAAATAAGCGTGGCCTTTCGAATCTGTAACCCTGAGCTCTCCTTTGACACAAAGCACTGGAGCTTTCAGGCTAGGAGTGTTACGTTTGATTTTTAATTGCGCGTGTGCGCCCGGCACCGTATCTGGCACCATGGGGCGTGACCCCCCGCGATGTTCTGCGTCTCCTGGGTGGGCTCCCGCTCTTGGTAGAGTGTGGATCGCCGGTACTGCCTGAGTTCTAGATGATGCTCCGTAAGTGTGTCATTGAACAAATGTGTGGAGGGGCAGTCTGCTTCGCCGCCGGATCACAAGTCCCCTCTGATGCCAGTCCCGTCTTTGCCACCAGTCAGGTGACTCTGAGTGCCATTCACTATTGGACTTTGCACCGTGAGGATAAGACCACCTCCTTGCCCACCTCCCAGGGCTAGGCCCCGCCATGCTGTATTTGGCCTTCGATTTTATGGGCGGGACATTCAACAAATACTGGCTCCTAGGGTACAGAAGATACAGCCTTGCCATCCGAAGAGACACGTAGAAACCCACACAACTGTTGAGCCCAGGCTCCAGGTCACATGCAAATACCCACCGGGGGCTGCAGAGGCTGAAAGCCACTTAGTCGGGGAGGCGGCCTTTGCTCCCCACTAAATGGGCTGAGGTGGAGGGGAAGGGTTGCCCAGGTAGTGGGGGGGGGGGGGAGTCAGCACAAGGAAAGGCCTGGAGGCTGGAAAGGGCCAGGTATGCTTGGGGAAGAGTAAGGACAAGGTTCTGGAACAGGCCCAGCGGACATAAGTGAAACACAGATTGAGTAGAGCCATAATATAAAGGAGCCCGTGGTTTGGACTTTCTCCTCTCTGGTAGTAGAGAGGGGTGGAGCGCCTTTGTGCCAGAGAGGGATGCAGTCAGAGCTGGGCTTTGGGGCAGGGTCTCTGATGGCGGCAGAAAGAACGGATGTGGGTGGCTAGACGTGTGGATATTCTCTGCTCCCCCCGCCCCACCGCTACATCGTCAAAGCTGTCTAAATCTCTAACTCCCTGTTTTAAAGAAGGCACTGTCCCACTTCGCGTTTTCCCGCATTATTTTTTTCCTGAGGTTTCAGAAAACATCTCCTTTGAGGCTCCCACTGTTCCCTCCTCATTTCCGGCCAGGCTCTGAATTTTAACCATTCTATTTTCTTTACCGATTTTATGATAAACAGCCCATGTTTTCCGACGCCTTTCCTAAGTGTGTCAGGCTGTCCCTCAAGGCGCTGATGCGTCCCTTCACTCCGAGATGCCCAATCTCATCCCCACCCGGCGGCGTGATTGTCCCCAGATCTCACTGGTGCCTTCCGAGTGGCCGGCACATCTCCAGCCCACCCCAGATCCATAAAATTTGGGGGTGAGTGTCCATCATCTCAGGCTGAATCTGGGTCACTCTGGCTCATAAACTAACCCACAGAAACAGACCCCTTCAACTCGAGCAAGGGACATCTGTCCTGATTTTCACAGTTTTCCTGCCACTCCCAGGTCTGGAAGGACTGGCTTCCCCTGGCAACCACTAAATGCACCACCACTCTGCTGAGCAGAACTCTGCCACGCCGTGGAATCCCCGCCCCCCCCCCACCCCGGCTTGGCTGATGCCTGACCCCAATTCAGGCTTTGTTGCTGAGAGAGAAATGAAATCAGTTTATTGAACCTCTCAGAGCGGGGTGCTTTCTTGAATTGCCTCTCATTTCTACTGTTGAGAAGGATCTTGCCTTGGTCGCCGGCACAGCGCGCATGCCACCCCCCACCCGCCCCCCTCCCCCGCCCCGGAAGGCTGCGGCCACCACCGGCCACCTCTCAGAACCAACAGTTAAGCTCCTAGGATGGTCGGACCAGGTCACCTGCAACGTTAGAGCCCAGTGACATTTTAAGTCTTCCACCCCCATTAGCTCTGTGCTGAGGGGGGTAATCCCCAGGTATGCTAGGCGCCAAAGGTAGGACAGATACAGACATTGCCACCGGCTACTTCACTCGAGGACCTGAACTCTCGGCTCCCGGAGCACCCCCTCCCCGGGCTTGGACAGGCAGAAGGAAAGGCCCTTTCAGACGGGAAAGCCAGCAGTCCCGGGCCTGATGCCTGAAGAGCCCCCGTCTTGCCCTCCCTGCCCCGGCGGCCAGGAGAGGGCCCTTGGGGGGGCTGGGTTCACTCGGCCTCTGTCCTCTGGGGCTCTTCAGGGAAGCATGGCTGACTGCCTGCTCCATGCCCAATCTCTTCCATCCAGACTGTTCATTGCACTTTTTATGGCTTGGAGCTGGTGGTTTATGGAGCAGGAGAAAGACAGCAGTAGAACTGAAGGAAGGGCAGACTGGTTGGGGGCGGGGTGGATGGGGCTTGTAACCTCTGGTTAAGCCCAAAGACATTGTGTAAATTATGGCCCGTGTCTTCCTTCATTCTCATTTTGCATTCCTGATCAGCTCATCACTTTCCGCCGGGAGGGGGTGAGCTCCGGTCCCCCTCACACGCGGCCCGGGACCCTCCGGCCCTCCTGGGTCTCGTTCTAGGTGCCGCGTCGTCTTTAAAGCCACAGGCACCAAGAGTCCGTTCATTTTTCAAGTTGATCCTGACTCACAAATATATTGGGGCTCATGGCATCATAGAAGGCTTTGCTCTACACCCTGGGAGCCCAAGAAAACTGCCTCATGCTGAGACCACTCAGTGGGTTGTGAGAAACAGGAAAGAAGCTCGGTTCACGGGCAAACCCCCATCGTAACGGGCTTTTACTGTGTGGAGCTTTGCGGGGTAGGATTTGACCTGTGTTCTGCCCGTAGAAGGGTTTGAGTGTTCTCTGTGCCCGTTGGCACTCGCCCTGGAGCTGGCTAGCGGGAGGAGACTCACCCCTCGTGTCACCTCCCCCAGGGCAGGTTCATCAGACTTGGATAATCAGGCCAGGGCATAGCTGGGGCCCACCCTCACCCGTGTGCCCTGGGACGCGGTGACTTATGTGAGGCAAGGGACATCACATCTCCACTCTGTCACCCAGAAGCGCTGACCAGGCAGCTGTCTGCGTGTAGCTTTGAGTTTGGACACCAAGGAAAGTGCCCATAACCGAAGCAGACACCATCAGCCCAAAAGAGAGAGTCCGGGAAATGGCTGAGGAGAGGACACATGCTCTTGGTTGACGTTCTTCGTCCGCATGTCGAGGGCCTGGCTGCCCTGGGCTCCACGCTGGCCAGATGTGAGGGGGCAAGCAGAAGGGCAGGTCCCCTCAGGCTTGGCATGGCCCCTGCCCTCAGGTCGCCTACATTCCGTCACAGGAAAGAGAACCTAAAATAGAGGGGCTTCATGGGGACAGGGAGACAGAGGGGCAGGATTGCTCTGTGGGGTGCAGGCTGTGGGTACTTCTGGGGAGACCTGTGGGGACATAAGGGCCTACCTCTGTGGAAGGATGACTAGAGCCCAGGATAAGGTCTGGACAGATGCTGAGGTGATGACGGAAGTGGGCAGAGGAGCAGAGGCGGGGACCGTGCGGTGTGGTTGGGCTGGTGAGGAGGGCTGGTGTGACCGAAGCAGGGCAGGCATCCAGGGGAGGGGGGGCTGGAACCAATGGAAGGAACTGACCATGGAGGGCTTTGAAAGGCATGCAGAGCATTTGCTTTCCAGGCAGTGGAAATAACGAGCCTCTAAAGGCTTTGGGGTGATGGCGTGCCACACGGGAGTGGATTGGGAAGGGGACTGCCGTGAAATGGGTTGAGTGGGCAAGGCTGCTGGGGTTTGGACTGCACCTTCCATCTAGGGTGAGGCTGGGGACCCGCTGAGGGCGCGAGGTCGAGTTGAAGACCAGGGGTCATGGAAATCCGCCATTGATAATCCGTCCATAGTCCTTCTGTTCCTTCCAGACCTAAAAGGGGGTCAGCGGGGCATGTGGCGTGACAGAGGAAAGGTCCTCACGAGCCAGGGCCACAACAAGACAAAGAGGCTGGGAGCCCATGTGTCAGGTGGTAAGAGGACGGACTCGTCAGAGCGCATCAGTCGTTAAAGGGTGAGCGTCTCAGACACGTTCCTCATGCCACAGGAGGCTTCATGGCCCTGGCAGGTGGTTCTAGTCTGGCCTATAAAACGGGAACAAGAGCTTGGACTGTTTGGATATTTGTTCGCAAGACTGTTCTTGAAGGTTCCATGTTCCTTTGACGCCGTAGATCTGACAGAATCACAGCACGAGCCAATGTTGACCACTCAGCTGTTCCCCACCCTCCGTCCCCATCTTCCCAGCTCCCACTAGGTCCACAGCTGAGGGCCAGGAGGTAGGAGCAAGGCACAGCAGTCACCCTTCGGGGCCGCAGCCCCTACTCCCCAGACAGAAGGGCAGCTCGGTTGAATAGTGTGTGGAAATAATGGGATTTCTCCAGAACCATCGGTTATGTTTCAGAGCCAAATCATAACAAGAAAGTCATTAGTAGTAATAAACACAGCAGAGAGGATCCGTCAGGGGCCTGACAGAGACACAGTGGGGAGGGGGACGGCATTCCATTTGCATTGTCGTTAGCTAGCAGAATGTCACCGACACCCTCCTCTCTCCCCGCAGAAGTCCAGATTCACAGAAACGCATTAATCCGAAGGATTTTTCTCTGGTGTTGTGATGCCAAGGACAACACAGCCAGTGATAGCCTTGCCTCTTCCAAGCGGCTCTTTATTTCCTTTAAAAACTGAGAGTTATCAAGGCAGTTTCCACACTCCCCTCCCTTCCCCCTTTGCAGGGCCCAGAGGAGCCCAGCAATGAATGAACTCTGTGTATGCCTGTCCTGGGCCTCTGGCTTGTCTCTGCTCCCTGCCCCGCCAGTCTGGCTCTCCGTCTCCCCAGCCCACCCCCCAAAAAGAGCCAGCTGCCAGCCATCTCAGTCACTTTCCAGGGCCCCGAACTAGCAGCATTAGCCGCCATCCGC